TTAATGGTTGGTCATCTAGCAGCCAAGTTTCTCCCTAACTTTCCCTCCAGAGGGCTTGTGAATTAACCTTGTTGAGCGGTTTACACTCCTCACATTCTCCACACGCATGAGTTTTCAGTCATGTAAAACTAGAGTAGCAGAGATCCGTCAGGCCAAGTGTGGAGTGGATTCGGTGTGTAGAACCATTAACAAGCAGTCTGTCAAGCCACAGCAAGTGACAGACGCTGCAAGGAATGCTGTGCAAAACATCTGCCACACTTACACCTTATTTTCCAGCATGTGATATACCATGCTGGAAATAACAACCATAAAAAGGATTTTATGCTCTAATTCAGTATGCTATAATTAAATATAATTCAATATGCTATATACCGTAATTGTACGCTACAATTCAGGTAGAAATACACCTGGACTCTTATTTTTAAAAATATCTGGGCTTTACGGTTTACAGCTGCAAAAACATGCACTCATGCAACCATCTGCAAAAAACAAAAAACACACGTGAAGACCATAATGTAAACATTGTCATAATTCATCAGCAGCAATCGTTTGGTATAAATGTGTGGTATTCACTAATTGCGAACTGCACTAAAACCACAAGCCAGTAGAACAAGGCTGCGTTTTTACTTTGAACTTGTTTTAATTACACTTTTTAAATAGTTTTAATTAAATAAAGAAATATGTAATTAAATTGTAGCCTTTTGAATCTTATTAATCAGATTAGGCTGCATCACGGCTCCTGTTTTTATTCATTAATATTTTTATTTCGTTTTAATGATTTATATTCAGTGTGCAATTAAACGAAACAGTTCACGGGCAGCATACTGTATTACATGAGCTGGGTAATTAAACGCTCTGATGGTCATAATGGCAAACCAGCATTGCTTCATTAAATGTGATAATATCAGCAGTTTCATAATATATTCAGAAAATGTCATGGATAACGTACAGTCTGCTTTACACTGATTACCTTGTTTAAAATAAAATAAAATATGCATTATTAATATACATTACATTGTGGGGTTGTGTTCATTTGTATGTTCTCCAAAGTACAAAGTAAAATCTTATTTTCCCTGCTTTTATTTAATTTTGAATGATTTTTTTATGATCTTAAATTTGACAAAACCAGATTTAAAGGTAACATATCATGAAAATCTGACTTTTCCAGGTTTTA